TCCGCCTCCGCCGCCTCCGACGCACAGGGAGGCTGCACTCGCCGCGCCGCTAGCGACAGAGGCGGAGGGGCTGCGTCTGCACCTCTCCAGCAGCAGCAGTACCGGGTACAAGGGCGTGCGCGCGGACAGGAGCCGCTACCAGGCGCAGCACAGGGCGGGCGAAAGGATGGTCTACTTGGGCAACTTCGCCACGGCGGTGGAGGCAGCGGTGGCGTACGCGCGGGCGGTCGGCGAGTACCAGCCTCCGGCTCCTCCGACGGTGGCGACAGAGGCGGAGGGCTTGCGTCTGCACCTCTCGAGCAGCAGCAACACCGGCTACACGGGCGTATTCCAGCACGCCTCTGGCCACAGGAGCCGCTTCCAGGCGCAGCACAGGGTGGGCGGACGAAAGGTCTCCCTCGGCTACTTTGACTCGGCGGTGGAGGCGGCGGTGGCGTACGCGCGGGCGGCGCGCGGCTATCAGCCTCCCGCCCAACCTCCTCCGACAGTGGCGACAGAGGCAGAGGGCTTGCGGCTGCACCTTTCGAGCAGCAACGCCACCGGCTATATTGGCGTAAACAAGCACCGCTCCTCTTGCCGCTTCTGGGCGCAGCACAGGGCGGGCGGAAGGCAGGTCTCGCTCGGCTCCTTCGACACGGCGGTGGAGGCGGCGGTGGCGTACGAGCGGGCGGTCGGGCAGGCGGAGGCGGCAGGCGCGGCGGCGGCAGTGTCGGCGGAGGAGGGCGACGAAGCAGGCGGCGAGGAGGAGGGCGGCGAGGAGGAGGGCGGCGAGGAGGAGGGCGGCGAGGAGGAGGGCGGCGAGGAGAGCGGGTGGAGCGGTGGCGGCGAGGAGGAGAGCCACTTCCAGGTGGGAGGCCGCGTCGCTGTACAGTACTCTGGCGGCGCCTTGTACCCGGGCGAGGTCGTGGGCTTTGACGGCGCGTCGAGCCTGTACTCGGTGCGGTGCGACGACGGCGAGCTGCTGGAGGACGTCTCGCTGCACGAGATGCTGCGAGAGGTGGGAGAGGGCGAGTGGGAGGAGCAGGAGCGAGCGAGCGGCGAGGGGATGGAGGTGGAGGAGGCGGAGGAGGCGGCGGGCTCAGCATCTACCGCCTCGCCGCCGCCTCCGCCGCCTCCGCCGCCTCCGCCGGACAGGGAGGCTGCACCCGCCGCGCCGCTCGTGACGGAGGCGGAGGGGCTGCGGCTGCACCTCTCCAGCAGCAGCAGTACCGGGTACAAGGGCGTGCGCGCGGACAGGAGCCGCTACCAGGCGCAGCACAGGGCGGGCGAAAGGAATGTCTACCTCGGCATCTTCGACACGGCGGTGGAGGCGGCGGTGGCGTACGCGCGGGCGGTCGGCGAGTACCAGCCTCCGGCTCCTTCGACGGTGGCGGCAGAGGCGGAGGGGCTGCGGCTGCACCTCTCCAGCAGCAGCAGCACCGGGTACAAGGGCGTGTACGAGCACGCCTCTGGCCGCTTCAAGGCGCAGCACAGGGCGGGCGAAAGGATGGTCTACCTCGGCTCCTTCGCCACGGCGGTGGAGGCGGCGGTGGCGTACGCGCGGGCGGTTGGGCAGGCGGAGGCGGCAGGCACGGCGGCGGCAGTGCCGGCGGAGGAGGGCGACGAGGAGGAGGGCGGCGAGGAGGAGGGCGGCGAGAACAAGGGCGGCGAGAACAAGGGCGGCGAGGAGGAGGGCGGCGAGGAGGAGGGCGGCGAGGAGGGCGGGTGGAGCGGTGGCGGCGAGGAGGAGGGCGGCGAGGAGGAGGGCGGCGAGGAGGGCGGGTGGAGCGGTGGCGGCGAGGAGGAGAGCCACTTCCAGGTGGGAGGCCGCGTCGCTGTACAGTACTCTGACGGCGCCTTGTACCCGGGCGAGATCGTGGGCTTTGACGGCGCGTCGAGCCTGTACTCGGTGCAGTGCGACGACGGCGAGCTGCTGGAGGACGTCTCGCTGCACGAGATGCTGCGAGAGGTGGGAGAGGGCGAGTGGGAGGAGCAGGAGCGAGCGAGCGGCGAGGGGATGGAGGCGGAGGAGGCGGAGGCGGCGGCGGGGTCAGCAGGGCCTCCGCAGCACAGGGAGGCTGCACCCGCCGCGCCGCTCGTGACGGAGGCGGAGGGGCTGCGCTTGCACCTCTCCAGCAGCAGCAGCACCGGCTACAGATGCGTGTTCGCGGACAGGAGCCGCTTCAAGGCGGAGCGCTGGGTGGGTGGAAGGCTGTTCTACTTGGGCTCCTTCGCCACGGCGGTGGAGGCGGCGGTGGCGTACGCGCGGGCGGTCGGCGAGTACCAGCCTCCGACGGTGACAGAGGCGGACGGGCTGCGGCTGCACCTCTCGAGCAGCAACAGTATTGGCTACAAGGGCGTGGTCAAGACCCCCTCTGGCCGCTTCCAGCCGAAGCGCTGGGTGGACGGCAAGAAGGTCTGCCTCGGCACCTTCGACACGGCGGTGGAGGCGGCGGTGGCGTTCGCGCGGGCGGTCGGGCAGGCGGAGGCGGCAGGCGTAGGAGGGCCAACGCGGGCAGCAGCGGCGGCGGGGGATGCGGAGGCGGGGGAGACGGAGGCGATGGAGGCTGCGGAGGCCAGGGAGATGGAGGCGATGGAGGCAGAGGGGGCGGAGGAGGCAGCGGCGGCGGCGGAGGAGGAGGATGTGCCGCCGCAGGCCGAGGGGTTGCGTTTGCACCACTCCGGCTGCACGGGCTCCGCTGGCCTGGCTGCTGGCTCTCCGTGCTGGGCCAAGCTACGCGGCTCGCCTTGGTGGCCTGCACTCATCAGCGCGGAGGAGGGCGAGTCGGTGCGGGTGCGCTTCTGCGGCACGGGCAACGTGGCGACGCTCGAGCGCGCGAGCTGCATCAAGTCGCTCCGCGAGGACGAGCGCCTCTTCGACGCCACGCGCTGGGGCAAGGACTTTGGGCGGCCAAAGTGGAAGCACCTCCGCGCGCCCTTTGCGAGTGCCGTCGCTCAGGTACTCGAGGTCGAGGCGGCCCTCCCGCATGCGCCGCCGGGCGCGCTAAGCCGAGGACCGGCCGGAAGCTCCGCAGACGACGCGAGGCGGTGCGACGAGCGGCCGCCCAAGCGCCGTCGCACCTCGGCTGCGCAGGAGGCGGTGCAGATGGTGGCAGACCTGGAGACGGCGGACGCGGAGCTCGACGCGCCGCTTGTGCGGAGGTGCGCCGTCACGCTCGACTGCTGCTTGCCCAGCCGCGCCAACCGCGGCGCGGCCCCTCCTCGCCTCGGCATCGGCGACGGGTGGGCCGCCTCGGCCGCCTCCTCGTGGGTGAGCCTCGCTCCGCCGCCGCCGCCGTCGACACTGACGGAGGGGCTGCGCGACGGAGGGGCTGCGCCTGCACCTCTCGAGCAGCAGCGCCACCGGTCACGCTTGCGTGTCCAAGCTTCGGTCGGGCCGCTTTCAGGCGCAGCGCAGGGTGGGCGGGCGGCTGCTGCACCTCGCCCTCTTCGAGAGGAGCTCCGCAAACACGACCTCGTCCTCGGTGCGGAGCTTGAGGGCCGGGCCGGCGACGCGAGGAGGCGCCGGAAGCGTGGGCTGCGAACCGTCGTCGCCGCTTGCGTGGACGACGTCGGTGCGCGAAGCCATGCCCGGAGGAGGTCTAGCCGCGGGAGTCTACCCCGGTAGTCCGCGCCCGTCTTTTTACCGCCCCTTCCAATAACGTTTCCTTGAGGCGCATCTCGCGGCCGCGGAGATACGTGTCTCCCACCAAGCAGTGTGAAATTCCTGTGTTTGTGCCAGTGCACGCCAGTCCCGTGCCCAGTGTCGTGCGAGGGAGTTTTGTTGTAAAATTCTTTTTGAGAGCGCCTTCGTTGTTAATAATAATACAGACGGATGGTCACTTGGACTTGCAAAATAGCCACATGACACGCACACACCCGCACCGCACCGCACTCCGCACCCGCGCGCCCCCCCGCCTCGCCTAGGTCGGAAATCCGAGATGGGAGGATGGAACAGCCCGAGGAAAGGAGCGGAACAAACCGTATGGGAGGTTGGAGTCGTGTGCACCACGCTGCCCGGCGTTTCTCACTTTCCGGGACAGCCCCGCCCTTGAGCCTTGTGAGGCAGGAAAGTGGCGGCTACCCCGTACGCCCTGTCCACTACGACCCCCTCGCCGACTGTCCAGACTCCCCTTCCCCTTCTCCAACCCCCCGACGAGCCGACGAATGGCTCTGAGCCTCTGACCTTGCGCGCCCCCGTCCCCCGCCACCCCTCACTGACACACACCCGACACGCACATACAAGACAAACCCGGCGTTCTGCTCTCAAAAGAAAAGAAAAATGGGAAGGAGGAGACCAGCGGGGGAGACTCCCCGCCTATGCAACACCCCAGAGAGGGGCTGCCATCGCCGAAGCTGTGCCTAAGCATAACTCCCAAACCCGCAGCGGCCCGGGGGGCCTTGGGGGCAGCCTGCCGGACCGCTGTTGCACGGGGCGAAGCACCAGAAAATGAAAGTGGTTCTCGCCGCGGTACCCGGGACGCTCCTGCAGGGCAAACAAAATGCGCGTGCTTGCGGCCGAAACTAGAGGGAAATGGGCTGCGTGCGTGCCGCCCAAAAGGAAGCGAACGAAGGAATCGCGTCACGGAAGAAAATTTGGGAGATCGGTTTGGAATGTAACCCGCGGCGCGGTTTTCTTCTCGCCACCGGCCAGTGAAAGCGGCGAGCTATGCCTCTCAATTCGGGTGCCTTGCTCGGCTGGTGCCAGCGCGAGACTGCCACGTATGATGGGGTGAGCGTTGAGAACTGGAGCCGTTCGTGGAACGACGGGCTCGCCTTCTGTGCGCTGCTGCACCGTCACTTCCCCGATGACATCCGCTTTGGATCTCTCAACAGTTCGACGCCACAGAGCCGCGCTCGCAACTTTGAGCTCGCCTTTGGGGTCGCTGAGAGGAGGCTCGACGTCGAACGGCTTTTTGATGTGGAGGACATGATGGCCACATACCCACGGCCCGACGGCCGTTCAGTCACGACCTACGTCGTCCTGCTGTACAATGCAATCGAGGAGCGAGGCATGGTCGCGGCTACCCCTGCGGTGCCTCTTGATGCGGATGGGGAGAAGAGAAAGGTCAGCCACCGAGGGCGGGGTTCTTCAGAGATCTCGCATCCGCCTGCGCAGGTGCAGCTTACTCCGCTGCCGCTGCCCGACCGCTCGGAGGACGACAGCGCGTTGTCGCCTGCAGAGCTTGCCATGATTCGGAAGTGCAATCAGAAGATGGAGGCGCTGAATGCCAAGCTTCAACACTCTCCTCGCAGCCATGTGCCAACAGCCGAGGAGCAGGCGATGCTCTTGTCCATGGCGGCGCTCAATGCAGCGCTGGAGTCGGACGCACGCAACCCGGCAAGGGTTGTCAGCCGACTAGTTAGTGTGTGTTCGCATCGCCCCTAGATTCTCAAAAGTGATCGCTTATTAGTTTGAGTCCGTGGCCCGCGTGGGGAGCCGCGGTACGGCTTTATGACGACGCGCTAGCCGCTACGCGGCGCGTCTCGCGGCCCCGCCGCCGCCTCGACTGTGGTCTGTGTGCACGTGTGCGCCCGCAAGAGCCCCGCATCCGGCGAAGACCGTATACACGAAGCCGGGGTCGCGTCTCGTTGCACTCTCAACTCAGCCTCCAAGAACCCTCGTAACCCAGGAGCGAAAGATCAAAGAATTTCAGCGCGCGACTGGAAATCTCGATCCATGGAGCCGCTCGCACAGAGATAAACATGTGTACTGAGGCCTACTACTCTCTACTCTGTACACTGTACTAGAGCCGTACGTAAGGGCCGGAGGCGGCGGCACCGACGTACCTACGGCTACGCCCGCCGCTCGCTCTCGCCTGGGTGTGCTCGCAGGGGACACGGGTACAGGGGACATGTGCTCG